AGAAACACTCCCAGTTGCACTATTCTACCTAGTTTATTTGGCATACATGAAGAAGAGTCTGTCTCCAGTCTGGCAGAAAGCCCTTTTCCCCACCATCATGCCCCTGATAGCCATGATTGAGGTTACTCTCAATCTGTACATTTACTTCAAAAATGTTATTTGTGAACTGATGCCAACAGACCAGTGGCATTTTCTGAACTCTAAGGCTGAGGAAGCTCTTAACAATAATGTGTTTTAAAGAAGCGGAAATATAATGGGGGAGCCCCACTTCTGCTGATAAGGAAGAGAAAAGATGCCAAACACAAGCATGTGTGGGGTTTTATGGAGCAGTTAACCTTGAGACTTACCTGCATGTAAAGATAAAACTGTAACTTCTGCCTAACAGATTTATAGAGCTCTACAAATACTTTGGCTTCAGCATTTATGCTTTTATCTACTTTTGGACTTTATTATTGGTTTCTGTCCAGTGATAGTCTTTATATACACAGACTGTCATGAGATTAAACAGTGAAGTCAAAAGGTTTCCTTTGCCATCTTTGATGTCTTAAAGGTTTTAATAGAAGCTCACACCTTCCATCAGTTAGCAATCCACAGAAAATGCCACCCTTTGCCCTGCATGGGTGACAAGCATTTTACACATCACACTCCCCAGATAAGGGACAAGAAAATGTCAAAAGAGTACTTCTTCAAGGTTATAGTGGAAAATAACTAGTTTGTGTACATGTAGAAATCTAAATATGTAAGTTACAGTCAGTACCTTGGTGAATAAACATGTCAGTTACACATGATAAAAAAGAGACTATTGTTTTGACTTACGTGAAAGAAGATAGCCATATCAGTGTAGAGAATGAAGTTTTTAAAAAAAAGAAAAAAAAGGAAACACACTTTCTTTAAGCCCCATCTGGGATGAGAGATTCTGATATTACAGAATTTCTCACAAAAGGCAGGAAATGACAGTGTTAGAATAAAATACATTAATATTGGAAGAAAAAAGAAAACAATGGTATGAGGAGGTGGCTTGTTCCCACTTGCTCTGGCTGTGAGAAAGTATCATGTAGGCTGTGCCTTCTTTTCCCTGCGATGTGTACTGTCACAGGGGCTGGCTGATCATCCACTGAACGCCCCAACCCGAGAGAAGCATTTCTCATGGGAACACTAAGTTTCTCATATACATTTCTATGTACTCAGCAAGAACAACAGTCAACATATTTTTTTACTTGAAGAAAAATTCAATTTTCTGATTAGAGTGAATTGTGTGCATCAGCTGCCATTCCGAGTTTCACAATTGTTTTAATCATGATTTTTAAATTCAACCATAATCAAATAATTCAATGAAAGCCATTGCTAAATACTTTATGGTCTCAATTTGGGGCTTTCCAGCTGTGAATTGTCTTAAAGAATTTCCCCTGAAAGATGCAGAAGTACTGAAGTCAGAGAAATGAAAAGACATATACATATTTGAATTGGTGTAAGACTGTGGGTTGAAATAGAAATAGGAAGGTAATCTGATGCTAGTCGGTGTAGTCATTGGCTGAGTGTGAGCAGAAGCTCTTGGATAAAATGGCACTTGTATTTGTAATTGTCTTCAAACTTTTCCTGGGAAGTGCTTTGATATCTTGATAAACAACCTATTTTTAAAGTTTTGAATAAGAGAATTTCAAGCTTTATCATAAAGTATTACAGATATGTAGGGAAATTCCATTGAAAGATTATGGAATATATTTCAATAACCCTCTCACTGACATGTAAATAGTGTGTATGTACGTATTCATTTATTTATTTGCAGTGTTGGGAATTAATCAGGGCCTCACACTTGCTAAGTACACACTCTAACACTGAACTACACCCCAGCCCTAAAAGTTTCATTATAAATTATTTTATTATGCTCCTTAAGAAAACTATTTGTATGTGTGTGAAAGCACTTAAGGTATGACCTAGTTTTTAAAAAATTTACTAGAATGTTCATTTTTAGGAATAAAAAATATCACTAGATGGCCATTGCCTAAATAACAAAGTTCAAATTTCAGAATTTAGTCTTTAGAGCTCTGCGATCTAGTTCAGAGTATGCTTTCAACTTCACTATTTCTCTTTCCTTAGCAAAACCCTGTCTCTAAATTGGATCACTTATACAACTGTCACTGTTTTCGAGTGCTTATCATGTGCCAGGCTCTGTGGACACAGATGAACAAGCCACCATCTCTGCTTGCTAACAGCTCAAATTCACTAAGTAGACACACAGCAAAGGATGTTGAGGCAAGGGAACAGCATGTGTCAGGAATGTATGGAAACAATTAAGTGTATCAATAACCAAATAAATATAAATCCAATCAAATAGAGCTTCCCTAGAAGTTCTGAGGATATAGAAGAATTAGGTAAAAAAAATTTAAGTCAGGCATGTGGGGTACATAGCCATTTTTGCTCAGTAATGGATCTCCTGTTATATAAATAAGTAGGGCTCCTTATTCCAAGATCCATAATTTTCCCATCCATGTTGGGAAGAATACATCAGTGTCTCAAAATAAGAACTCTGGTCTTATGGCACTTCAGCCATCTGAGAAAGTAACCTCTAAATGATATGAAATTTTATAATTGTTTCCTTTTGATTCCAAGACCATTTATAATTAAGTATAAAAGTATGTGAGAATCAAAACCACAGGGTTAATATTTATGAATAACAAATCTGTGTACATTTAACACTATGTGCTTGTGATGACTGAGAGAACTTTGCTTGTTAATCTTATGACTCTAATGTAAAATAAGTCATTTGAGAAATTCTTTGTGGAGATGGGAAGGGGATCTGAGGATGGGAGATGGGAGGATGGGGAGGGGAAGGGGAAGTAAAGATAATTAAGATGCAATATATGTATGCACCAGTTCCCCTAGATTAATGTAATTATAAGGTATCACAAACATATACTAATAAAAATTATAAAAATTGCATTGAACTAAACACATACAGACAGAATAAGTACAAGTGAAACTTGGGAAACCTCATCAAATTTTATGAATTGTATTAACATCAATATCCTGGTTGTGATGTTGTGTAGTACTGTAAGATTTTTTAAGGAAAACTAGACAAAGGGCACAGAATCTGTCTGTATTATCTCTCGAACTCGGGTCCTTGTGCTTGAGCAGCAGGCGGCAAAACCACTGAGCTAAATCCCCGGCTATATTATCTCTTAAAACTACCTGCAACTCTCCAATTATCTCAAAATAAAATTATTTTTATGGAAAAATGCTGACAAAATTAATTAAATATTTTAAAATTTTAAGTTGAAATCTTACATTTACATACGAAACTGAAACAGAATTTTCAAAAAATCACTGTACTCAAAATTTAATAGACTTATGAGAATTGGGACTGCTTGTTGTTAATCTATTAAAGTTCTCTTTTTTTGGTACTGGGGATCAAACTTGGGACCTTGTGCTTGTGAGGCAGGCAGTGGCACCACTGAGCTAAATCCCCAGCCCTATTAAAGTTCTTAAAAGAGAAATCAGTTGTATAAAATTTACAAGTTCAGTTTTTAATGTTGAGGAGAATTTTTTATGAGATCCTTAAAAACTAATGTTATATTTATAGATTTATAAAAATAAGAACACCTATAAGTTGAAGTAAAAAGGTAAGGAAGAACTAAGCTTTGGATTTCTTACTTTAATAAATACACTTATTGTTTAACTAAAGTAACTTCTGCAAAGTCTTTGTGGACTAAGGACATAACAAAACCCAAACTCAAGGAAAAGGTAGGGACCTTTATAGTAGGGATCAAATATGACATTATCATTAATGGGACAAACTGCATTACATCTCTCCTGATGCAATGCACATCACCTATATAGCATCCAGGCTCAAACATGTCTAAGCTGAACCTGGTCATAAACAAACAAATTTACACTGAGGGACACCTTCCAAGCAAATGGCCAAATTCTCCAAAAGTGCTGTTATCATAAAATACCAACATTAAGCAAACAAACCCTCCAGACGTACAACAAGCAAAGATGAAGAGAACAGATGAAAAAGGGCTGGTGATTGTGTGATCCCTATTAGGATCTGGATTCCCAAAGTAAAAATCTATGAAGGACCTTACTGAAATATCTTCATAACTTTGGTAGGAGAATATCTTTATTCTTAGATCCTAAAGTGTTCAAGAGAAAACAATAGAGATGCCCACAATTTGTACTTTAACAGTTAAAAGCTGTGTAGTATTGTGATGCACTGCAAATCTAGCTGGATGGTGTTCATTGTTGTTTTAAACTTTTCTTCAAGTTTAAAAATTTTCAAAATAAAAATTGAAAAAGAAAACAAACAAAAATCTCCAGCTCACTTTGAACCCCCATTTTCCTCCTTCCTTTGAAGCTCTTACCTTTCAGAAGTTGATCCCAACTTTCCACACAAAGGGACTGCACTGGTCTAAAATTTCCTCATCAAGGACTGGCTCAGTATTATGCCTATTTCTAAATTTGGACCAATAAAACTGGAAGAGAGGTTTGCTAAGGGCTTTCCTTTCCATTTGCACTTCTGGGAGAATTTCTAGGTACCGTTTCCTTTTTCATGGTTATTATACTCATGTGTGAGGCCTGATAACCTTGGAAGCTTCCAGAAGGGACAGGGGTGGCAAGATTCAGTGAAGCACAACAGGAACTTTGGGATAAATCAATCTTGAAGCAATTCTGCTTCCTTTCCAGCTTTGAGGATCAGTCAACAACTTCATTTTGTGAGCAAAATGCATCATCTAATCTGAGCCTTAAATTGCAGCTGCCCTCATATTCAAGTGCCACATCCTTCAGGAAGCTAACTTTAATATCTCCATTCCAAACTGCATCTGGCACCAGAATTTTCACAAGGAAAATACTACCTTCATTTGGCAACATATATAGATTGGTCAGGTAGAGAAGAAAGTAGGACTCCCAAGGTCAGGGGGATGGACAGTAAGTAGCTCTAGTAACCACGTAAATGGATTCACTGGTCGGGGTCCTCCAGAGAAACCGAAGCAACAGATGTGTGTACTTACATATAGAGATTTATTTAAAAATTTGGCTTATATGATTGTAGAGGCTTACAAATCCAAAGTTTGATGAGGTTGGCTGGCAGGCTGAAGACTCAGGGAAGCACTGCAGTTCAAGTCCAAGGGCAGTGGGCTGGCAGAATTTCTTCTTGCTTAGAAGAGGCGAGTCTTTGTTCTATTTAGGCCTTCAGTTCATTTGATGAGGACCACCCACATTATAGAGAGTAATCTCATCTTCTTTGTTCAGAATCCACCTACTTAATGTTAACCTCATCCAAAAACATTTTCATAGAAACATCCAGAATAATGCTTACCCAAATATATGGGAACTGTGGCCCAGCCAATGTGAGACAGACAATTAAGCATCACAATGGAGAAACTGCTTAGTGTGAGAGATGAGCACACTTGGCTTTGCTTTAGGAGAAGCTGGACACGGGAAGAGGAGAGATGGAGTAGTGAACTAGATGCTTTCAAACTATTTCTTATATTCTTTCTAAAACACATATGCTTTCTAAAGCACATGCTTACTCCATGCTGTGCCATGCCTTGCTGATCTGTCCCGTTCCATTTCATTCCGTTCTGTTCCAATCCAATCCATTCCACAGATAGCACACAGCAGATCTTGAAGTGAACCTTAAGCCAAGAATAAGGTGATTGTGAAATTGTGATAATGCAAGCAGCCCTGCCTTCTTTGTCCCCAAGTTTGTACTCTCAAAGTTTACAGAAATCTTCTGGAGCCTTTGATTTTCCATTGGGCATAGAATAAAATCTAGGCTTTTATAATACAATGTACATCTCAGGGATGGGAAGTCCAGTGGATTACTTGTACTACAGAGCTATTCTCTCTTCCTCAAACTTTCATAACACTTTGGCCAATTCTGCTGCTGCCTATCCATTTATAGCTTAAATATATAGGAATCGTGTATTTATCTACTTATCTTAATAAGCTGCAGCTTACTTTGGTCAAGGATTTTTGTCTTAAGTACAATGTTTTCATATCTCTTATCAAGAAGTATATTCTCTCTATAGAAGAGTAACTCAAATATGTGCTTTTATTTTATGCAAATAAAATTGCTATGAGTAACTATAGTAACATGGAGTTATGAGTAATTGAGCAGAATAGATGTCATGTAATTTTCTAACTCTATCCCCATGTTTTAGGTACATCAAATAGAAATTGCATGCTCACTTAGATAATATTAATACATATACAGTAACGCCTCAGTTTATGAATGTTTTTGTTCACAAACAATTCTGTTTGCAAACAGAAGCATTCAGCAAAAATTTGCTTTCATTCATGAACTCCACATATGGTGATGAACACAACCTTGGTCATCTTCCCCAGAATCATGAAATGAATGAAGTTCATGAACCGAGGTACAACTGTAGTACAAAGGAAATCAACCCAAGGTTTCATATGACTATTTGGACTCATGCAGAGCTTATTACACAGCAATGGCTCCAAATCATCCATGAAGAGAAGTTAAGTTCCACAGAATGAACAATGATGTCTAATCCTCCGTGGCCACATCCCCTGTGGCCTACTCTATGGTCAAGCATTAGAGGGTAGAAGGAGTCTAAGACTGAAATGACCTGTATCTTTGGAACAGATGGAAAATTCTAAGGGACCAGGACACCACAATAGCTCATGGCATGGATGTTCAGTGTCTTGCCATCTCTTCCAGATAAAAGATTGTAATATGTGAATGGAAACTATAATTACTGGAAGAGCAAGGGGCTTTCATGATGGCTATACACTTAATTCTTGGTTGGTCCTGTTTTTAGAATACTTACATAAGTCTGTGTTGCTGATGTCATCATGGTCTTATATAACTGGCGCTCTCTCTCTCTCTCTCTCTCTCTCTCTCTCTCTCATACAAACACATACCTAACACCATAAAAATATTAAAGAAAAGAGATCATGTAGAAGTTGTTTCTGTATAAGGAAAATGTAATTTATTTCTGAAATCCACATCATTCAAGTGTTTGCCGTGTAGGCGTTCATTGGTGAATATAGACTAAATGGGAAGTGATGTAAATTATACTTATTACACTGTTGGGAGAGAAATATATTAAATCCAGAGAGCACATGGACAAAGCACAAGGACCTCATTGTGTTGACAGCAACCATGTGATTCTGGTGGGAAGACAATGCAGTATGTACTGTGAAAACCTGCACTGGCCATTTGGGACTAAAACAATTTTTCTAAGAGAATACCATTTTGTTATAGCACTGAGTTTTTTAAAAAATAAAGCCCGAAGGTATTTTTAATCTTAAGCATCCTGGTATTCTATACTTTTAACTATTTCATGCTGTTGTTTCCTAGTCATTAAATCAGAGAGAATAAAAAACAGTGAAACTATCAGTGTTTAAGTTGGAGATCATAGCTATAGCCCAAACACCCTGAAGAAAGGCAAGGGTGAGGAAATGACCAAATTATCTAGCACCTGTATAATTCCAGCTATTGATGACGTATGTATCCAGGAATCATCTGCTTGAAGAAATATCAACAAATAAATTACCTTGAGAGCATGGCAACATTCTTGAGACTTTTCTCATTGATCTATTGGCTGACAAAGCCTCCTGGTGTGAACTGAAATGCAAATAAAAACAAGGCTGGAGAGCTGGTTTGGATGCTTGTGTGGCCCAAAGAAAACCCTCAGGAAATCAGGACAAAGACATATAAATCTAACCTACAGCTTGCCATTTCATTACAAAGTCATACCCAGAATGTAGCACCTGAGTAGACTGGGTGCACCCGGCCTTGAAAGTGTTACCATACCTTACCCAAGTGTGGACAAAGCAGACTCATTTACTGACCCCTGCCTTAAATGAGTATTTCTATGACAGTACACAACTAAAAGCTGTACAATGATTTAGCAAAAAGAGACTTCATGGTTTACTGCCTCAACTTTAAAGAAATATATAATCTTTTAGTGAGTAATTTCTTTTGTAAGGCTGATTGTTGTAACTGCCAGTAGAGTGCCTAGGAGGCTTCACTGTGAGAGGAAATGACTTCCCTAAAACTTATCCACAGTATTCAAACAGAGCTGGGTATGGGAAAGTCAAAGCAACAGTGCATGGAGCTTCCCAATGAGGGAGGGGGTGGGCCTCCATAGGAACAGTGTGTGAGGCTAACCTCGTGGCACTTTCCAGTGTCTCTGAATGCAACAGAACATCATAAAAATTTGGAAAGGGTTTTGGGACAGTAGTAAAGTGAGTCAAAAATGTAACTTTGGTCTGATTTTTTTTTTTTTTTGCTAAGTATGAATGAAGGATAGTATTTTGATGTTTTTATATTTATTTGTACATACATAATCAAAGCTATCTGCTGCACATTTTCATGATATTGCTATTCATTCCTTCCCACTTTACCCCTCACCTCCACCTTCCACCCTCTCCATTTCTTTAACACATATCCTTTAGTGGCTAAGGACACTAATCCTACAACCAGACTGACTGGGAAAGTTGCCCAAAGTCGGAGCTTCCTTTTTTCTTCTGTAAAATTAGGACATGGACAGAATATAACTCATAATTTTTGTAATGAATAAGGGGAACAAATATAATACTGAGGACACTGCCTAGTAGCATTTACTACCATTCTTTTTGTAGAAGAGACTTTTCTAGATCTTCAACTGAGACATTATATAGGAAGACACAGACAGACTTTTTCAAGAGATTATTTTACCAATTGCTTAAAAATATATCATACTTATTAATAGTCTAGTTTTGGTAAGTATCTATAACCCAGTTTTCTTAGCCTACAGAAATCAGCTTGCATTGCTATATGGATTTTAAACTTAAATGATACACAAAGTCTGAAGAAACTGTATTCATGAGGATTTGATTCTGAACTCAAAAAGATGTATCTTTCATATCAATTTGATATTTCTGCACCACTTTTTAGTATTGTATGAATTAAAATTTTAAGTGAAAAATCTCTCAGATGCTAAAAATAAGAACTTCATTTTTAGTGTGGATTCTATCTTGTTCTGTTTCAAATTACTATACACAAGTAGGAAAACTTTTCATAACAAAGGTTTAATTAGGATGGTTAATAACTATGATTTCCAAAGTGTCTGAGTCAGCCTTAGTAATAATTAGGGAGTTTTATTCCATACAAAATGCTTTATTTAACCTTCATGCCTTCATTCAGATAATTATACAAATGCATACAGTTAAAGGTTTAAACTCTATTTCGGTTCACAGCTCAATTCATAGGAAAGTTGAATACAGAAAAGCAATGCACCAACAGAATATGTCTGAGACACCATTAAAAACGATAACACTTGTTCATTTAAATCTCTGAGAATAGACTGGAATAATCATCCTCTGAGAGAATCTCATTAGGAGGGTCTCCCTTTACATTATCATAGGGGAAAAAAAAATCACCATTTTACAGTAAAAGGAAAAAAGCTCTGAATATATTTACAATACATACACTATACATAAATACAAGAACAACACTTACATAATATTAATAAACTTATAACAGGGATTGCCTAAACACTAGAGAGTATATAAATGCAGAGGAAACTATTAGGAAATTAGAACTTTAGATAAGCCGGAGAAATAAATTCATTTGCAATTAAAAACTCTGAACAGAAAACCAAACGAAGACTTAAGAATTCAACACATTTGCTTGCCGTCATCATTGGGGGACTTTATCCTTTAATGTGTAGGGTCTCCTCTGGGCCCACTAGCTCTCTGGGTTCAGAGACCCAATAGTCTTTTGTAAATTACATCCCTAAAGTGAATCAGATGCAGCTCATTTATTCAATTTGCTGTTCAGAGGCTTCAAGCCTAGAATAACTGCTTTGTAAACTAAAAAATATTTTTGTATTTTTACACAGAAAGATCTTGTGATCCAATCACCATGTATAATGAGCTAAATGTCAAGAAAAAGAAAAGGGATGCCTGCTTGGTTTGGCCAAAGAGGATATTTTCTTTATTCCTGTGTATTTTTTCAAATATGACTGGGAGATTTATTCAAAAGAAAATGACGTTTGAATTGACCCCCACACACCAAGAGCAAAGTCTAGACTACTACTAATTATAACTAAGTCATTTTAAGTGGCAGGTGGGTATCTTAAAGGTGGTCTGTTCTCATCATTTCACAACACATAATGTTCTGAGTACATTCTTATATGGACAAACATGAATTTGCTGGTTTCTTTTTTTTAAAAAAAATGACCATGATACACATAATTGCATTATGATGCAGGATGACATAATACATAAGACAATGTTTTTAAGCTGGTTTTGTTAAGTAGTTATCTCACATCCACAGAGTTGGTTTGTTATGTGATGCAATGTGTCCCACATAGACATGAACAAAACAATACAGCCAGCATCCCATGGGGGGACAGTGGTTTTAAAAAACGAATCTTTAAACACAACAAATTGTGGACAGACAAGTTGATAGGAAAGAGCCTTGTATATAGGCACCAGTGCCCCAGTTCAACAATACCCATCCAATGTAATAAAGGTTAGAGGAACAAAATATATTCTATGGTGTGGATGTAATCATAAATTCTGCCATGGAAAAACTAGAAACATGAGCGGGGCAAAAGCATTTTCTATTATGTTTTATGTTGTATCTTTAGAGCATGAAATTAGCAGAAAGGGAAGATATTACTATGTCCTTAAAATATATTACTTTTTGATTGCTTGGACATTTTTACTACTAGATTTAGACCCAAATCCTATTCTTCTGTGTTCACCCTCATTTCTCAGTAAAAACGAATCTCTGTGAAAGTCCTGGTTAACCTGCTTTGGAAAAAGCTAATTCACTGGTCACTGGTTCTTGCCTTGCACAAAGGGCAGATTCTGTGGCCTGAAACACTTCAAATTTCTAGAGATGAATTCCAGAAAGAAAAGGTATTGATGTGATTATTTCTGCTATTCATCTCTTTTCAACTCAAAGTGGTGGTTTTGTCATTGAGAAATTACCGCTGGTGAAACTCAATTAACTGAGAAGAGCCCCCATTTGCAAGTAACAGTTGCTTTCAGCATGGAAGAGAATTTGTTGATACAGGTTTTATCTCTTCCCCCAGCCAAGTAACAAGGAGAAAGATCATAATTCAGAGGACTCATTTTCAGAAACCGAAACACTATGAGAAATAACATTCTCTCAATGTTTTCAAAGTCCATTAGTACTTTCATGAATCAATACTGTCAGAGACCTTGTTCTACACGGAAGGGAAGGGATTTCATTTCTCTGATGTTGGACAGCTTCTCACATAAAACTCAATTAAACTAACAATACTATAAACAAATTATTTATAAGATTATTTAAAGCATTTCAAGATGGTGCTGTTAAGTAAGAAATCTGAACAGGAATTATCTACTGACCAAGGCTGATGTTTGTGACTGCCACCCTACTAACACCTGCAAGTGAATTCTGAATTAACAACCAGCTCCACGAAGGTAGATTCTAGCAGGTCTACATAGGTAGAATTGAGAAAAATCAACCTGGGCAAAAATGCTAGTAAACTGGAAAAAGTTTTGATGATTCTTAAGCTCCAGGCCAAACATCTGAGAGGAAAGTGACAAGTTCAGGGAGATACCTTGTTGTTGCTCTTTGTTTATAATGATCTTTCATAATGAATTTCCAGTAAAGGCCTGATTTCAAATATTCTGCACCATTGTCAAATCATGTGTTGTATCACTCCTTGATTGGAAAATGACTACTTGTGCAGGGTGCCCATAATAAAACTTAGAATCATGAAAAGGTGGCTTCCAGGAACACATATCCTGTGTGGGACAGTGGAAATTATGGAGACTTCACAGCCACAGACAGGTGGCTTCATAGTCCCACTCTGGTATTTCCTTCCTTTGTGTCCATGGATATCATCTTTGTACCTCAGTTTCCCAACCATAAAATGTAGAGCTATTGTACAGATCAGAGGCAACGTGTCTAAAAATGTCTCACACTGTCTGGCATGTCATGTTTAATAGAGAACAGCTATACTTTTTATGGTTTGAAGTTTTGGCCTTCCGAGACATTTTGGTATTTTCAGACAACATGCAGACAGAAGCTCAGTCAGAAGACTTAACTTCAGTGGGACTAAGGAACACACCAGCTTCCTGTGTGTGCTTTACTGGTTATTTCAACTCCTGTCCTAGTATAGCTTCTTCTCCTTTTTCTCCCTTCTAAAATGTGGAGGAGCAAAGAGTAGATGGTTTTCTAGGCCTGTGGTCGAGGCCTGGAGAACACTCTCTCTTGTGGTAGTCTACACCACCTAAAGCTCGAGGATTTAATGACAGTCATAATTTTAAAACTGCTCTTACCAAATGTTTGGCTTGGAAAGTGTATAATTTTGCTGATAGCCTCAGCAGCTTGTTTGGGTGAAATTTGTGCTCTGAGATGGTAGGGTTGGAGAATTTCCAGGGTTCATGTCTTTTCACATAGTCTCATTGTTGTACATTTCTACCCAAGACTCCACTCCTAGCAGTAAACTAATTTTAGAAAAAACTTGTGAACTTCTGTATATAAATCAGGTAATTTTCACGACTAACTGCAAAACTAGCTAAAGGCTAGGTTTACCGAGTATCAGTAGTACTTCAGTAGACTTTTTGGGAACATGTGATTTTGTCAATTCATCCCAAAGTGGTTCTTAGATGACAACAGGAAGTATTTTGGGAAAAAGGAATAAACAGAATGATAAATTTGTGCATTGGATAAAATAAAGCAGAAAAATATCCCTCAGTGATTTGCTCTAAATAAACCAGTATTTTTAACTGAGCAAAACTTTTTGAGCCATATATACTGTTTCATAATTTGGGGCAAATCACAGTAAAATTTTCATTTGAAAACTGCAATTGCCACACGCCTGGTGTACACTGAAGAAAACCATAATGTTCATATTTGCATTCTTACATTCTGCAAGAAAAATCAAATTAAGAAATGTTTCTTGCAAATAAGATTATTTATACCTAACAGATAAATGCTTTTTTCCCCCTTGTGGGTATAGGAACGAATTCAATTTACTATGTGCATACATTTACTCTGTGTGTATGTGTTTTCAAAATGTACAGGGAAACTCCAGTTTGATGAATTATTGCTGTGTAAAAGTATAGGAATATCTCATTGGTCATATTTATTGACAGGCACTTTCAGCATTTAATTCATTTCTGAAAATGGGCATTAGCTTATTCCTGTTGCCAGTATAAATTCATTTAACATGTGGCCATACCCACAGCACTTAATCTTGCCAACATGAAGCTATACCTAAAAGCAATCCCTCCAGAATTAAACAAGGAAAATACCTGCACAGTTTTGTGATCAAGAACCACTTAGTTGAGGAGAAAGATAACTAAGAGAGCAATCGCTAGATGCTCTTAGCACAAGTAAAATCTAGCTAGCTGTTTCTCCTTTTTCAGGAAACGACATTATGAGTTTGGAATTAGTTGTCTATAGCAAGTTTAAAATGACTTGATGGGGTTTTAAACCATCTTGGCTAAAACCCTAACAAGTGGCCATTCCATTTTGACAGAGCACAAAGAACATACATTGAGGCAGTGGGACAGAAATCCCATGGCAATATCCCTAATTGTGTGTAAGATATACAAGGCATATCTGAACAAGGTTTTTTTTATTGTGATGAAAACTAGAAGCTCTTTCCCCAACATACTTCATCAAACTATTTACAACCTTTGTAAAACTTGCATGTTTGAAAATACTTTATCCACTATCACGTTACGAATACAGTAAAATATCTTCACTCTATTTTTTAAAGATGCAGTATCCTTCCATTTCATTTTCTTATGAAAATCTGAGTTTCTATAGCAATTGCTCAGTATTTAGCATATTCAAAATACCAATGGACATGGGTTGCTACACAGACATTACTCTATAATGAAACTGTGAAAATATAGTATTTTTAATTTTTATGTACATTTCTTAACTATAAAATGCAGGCAAAGTCATATATAGTATTATAAGCTGATTTCCTAGTAAGGTAAATAACTTACATTTCTAGATAGTATGGATTATTACAAATTCTTTTTTTAAAAAAGTTCTTTGTTGGTATTCATGACCCCACTGGCTGCTGCATATACAGGTGTGTGTACACATGTGCATATGTTGGGGCTGTCTGTTCAGGTAAGTTGAAGGCAGTACGGGGACAAGTAGAAGTGTAAATGGAAGACAGGACTTACCAACCCCTTTCTAAACTAAACCAAGTCAAACTGAAAAGGCTATTTTTTATTGTATGCATTACCTCAGAAAAACTAGAGGAAGGTATTTGGTCAATGATGTGCTAGAACTTATTTACCTAATACATTTGTAGTTATTAATAAAGAATAAAATCTGAGAGTGGATTATGAACTATGAATATTAAGGCTTTCTGGGCCTATTATGGTTTATCAAAATTATCTCACATTCAGTCCCTTCTACTCACTCTGTAGCACAGATGCTGGTATTGTTAACACTGCTTCAGTTCTGTCAGTGCTCATTGTAAATGTTAAGACAGGTGTACAACAACATCATGGCTACATTTCTAAGCTGTCAAAACAACATAACAAAGGCGTGTTAATACATCTGAAGGCCTCACCTCACCAGATTTATTCAATTTCAGCTTTGGTAAGTATAATAAATAAAGTACAGAATAAGGAATACTGCATCTTTATCCATATACATTTTATCATTCTAATGAACTGATTTCAAAGTGCAGAATTTATTTACGTTTAAAACATAAATGGCAATTTAAAGTTAAAACAGTTGTATAAAAATGAACACAATCTTTGCACACGCCATTCCAAATTTCAACCATAATTAAAATGGCCCTCCTAATCACCTTCGACCTGACCTGGCATTTATAAACACTGTAGCATTTTGTGAGTTTGACAATCTACCTTCCTTTTTCCCACTTAAATTTTAAAGTGAATAAAAAGTGCTCATTTTAAAAAGTGGGGTATCCAACTGCTTTTGAAAAAAATACCCTATGAGTTTTGTAAAGGCAGCAGTATAATCCCTATGAGAAAGCCATTTAGAGATCTTGGTTTAAATGCCTTAATAGAACTTAAGACAAGTCACCAAGTAGAGTCCGCACACAGCTGGTGAGGTAAGGCAGGAAGTGGATGGGGAAGTGTGAATCTCTCTCCAAACAACTCAGGATCACAATATAAGGGACTCTGTTGAAACTGCAAAGACTGAACCTCATAACTTTTCAAGTACCATAACTTCTTGTAATCTAGTCTCTGCAATGCAAAGAGAAAGTCGGCTCTCCTGCAAGTTTACGTGATATAACTATGAGTACGTGTATGAAAGTTCCCCACTATGCACTTTATCTCTAGCTGCAAGTTGAGCAGCTTCAAACTTAAAACCAAAGAATGTTTCTAGTTAGAGAACAACTTAAAAAGTCCTTTAAGATTCTATCCCTTTCCTGTAATTCATCATGTACTGTGCTTTTCCAAAGAGATGGAAAAGAGGCCCATGAGACAGAAAAGATGCTTTCCTGTGCCTAAAGACATCCCATTTCCTTCTGCTCCAAACTATTTTCCTTTACACAGGAAAACAGTTTTAGGAAACTCACCAAAGTGAATTTGCTTTATCTCAAGACAAGCCCCAAATAAGTTTCAGTTCTGGGGCTAGCTCAGTGACTCACTCACCTACTTGTGCTTGGATCCCTTCTTAGAACTGTGATGTCAGAAGGGGAAATGGTGCAATGCTGCCGGTTTTGATCAGTTAACTTACAATCTCAGTCTAGTTTTCACTTTGGAAGGTGAGAAAAGCTTACTTCCCTAACTCTTTCTGATATTATTAGACAAGTAAAGCTCATTTAGTTCTGTGCTAACTTTAAATCAAGCTGTCACTCAGGAAGACTCCACTACCTGTCAGTTCAATTAATTCTAAAAACCTTGTCTACTTGCAATACTCTCAAGACACCTCTCAGCAGAGAAAAGGGTTGGCTCTTTTGAGAGCAGGCAGGACCAGCTCAAATCTACACTTTGCATGATGACTCCCCTATTACCTGCCAACAAGGTGCTGGGACCAACCTTGGAAGTTCATAGTTGTGTTTGCTTCTCTTCATATTCTTTGCCATTGACCAGTAACCAGTGCTGGCATGCATCAAGAAACCTTTTTCTATTGTGAATGGTCATAGGCAATGCAAAGTAGGAGTTGCATACAGTACAGATAAAAAATGTTTCAGTTGGTTAAAAAAACCCAAAACCCATGGTTGGTGGGTAGCAAATTGTTAGCTGAAGAACCTGTCAATAGAATTGCAGCCCTTGTTGGAGGGAAATTGCCGCTGAATTTTTCAGATCTGGCAGAAAATATAGAGCACATATTTGTGAAGCCAGAATTTGACCTGAAATTCCTTTTAATACCACCCAACACAAATCATCTTTGTTGCAATGTTCATAGTTCTTGCTTCATCAGAATAAGATTATCTGAATTAGAAGATGATCTTAAAAATTCTGTCACTGGAAATAATTTCAGAATGTTCAAACATTTAAAAATGAGCTAGGAATATTGTGAGGTTGATTTGTGCAATTCTCCAAATCAAGTGTTTGTAATTAAAATATATGCGCAAAGGTCTTTGGTGGAGACCTTTTATATCTAAGCTATAAAAAATCCTAACATCAACAACAATAACAACAACAACAACTACAACAACAACAACAACAACGACATCTTACCAAGCCCCTTAGCCACATAAAGCTGGGAAAAAACAGCTTTTAGTGGGGACAAAAATATGATAATTTTTCTGAAAGAATATTTGTTGGTGCTGCATTGCTTTATTTACTGTATACTTTGCTAGCTGCAAAAGGCTCAAGATTTTTGAGGGTTGATGGGATTCTACTTTCCCCTCATCCTCATCTCAGGATGAATAGGTTCAATATCCCTGCAGATGCCAATGCAGGACCACTGGGTCCTAATACAGTTTAAAAAATGAAATGTGTATAGGAGAACCAACTGGAGAGTCACTTATCCTTGGCTCTCCAAGAGAGGAAGCTAGCACCATGGCAGGCTTTCTACAGAGATCAGTCCCTTCCCACCTCCTCAGTTCCAAGGAGAACTGACCCATTAATCAAAGAGTTAACTCCCAGCTATCTCCTTTGCCTTTCTAGTCACCAAATAACTGTTTTCAAACAAGAAAAGGGGAGGATAATCTTTAATTGTGGTACTCAACCAAGCAGGACAACAAACAGCAGAAAGATTACCTCAGTGCTGTAAATGTAACCAAGACATCTAAAATGCTGGGGTGCTTTTACAATCCCTTTAGTAAGTATGAAAATTGGTAACGTGAGTCCTCAGTGAAGTTACTGTAGAAAAGTCCTTTTATTCATTATTGCTTTTCTCCTCAGGAGGCACATTATTTCCATCTCTGCTTTGTCTGATTTTTCACGTGCACTGACTTTGCCTGGGCAGCCCCACCTCTTACCTTGGTGCCTGTGTGTCTATGAAAGTTTTTTCCCCCTATTCCTTGTAATCAAACACTAGGGATAGGAAGAAATGATGCCTAGGTGACAGAACACTGCAATTTGAAGTGGGGCAGTAGTTTTTTTTAGACAGGCTCTTCCTATTCAACTACAGAACATCTCTGTACCAGTCCATGCCAGGGCAGAGACCAGGACTAGACTTCAACTGAAATGTCGCTGCCCCTCTGCTCGAACAGATGAACAAAACGGAATCAAAACAAAATGAAAACAATCAATGACAAACAAATGAAAGATTCAGTGTTGGTTTTCTTCAGGGCATGGCATGATGACAAGCTGTGAGTGGTATCTAGTTGCTGCCATCACTATTGCAAAGGGCTGCTTGAGTGCACCTTTATTTTCAGGTAATGGAACCTCTCCAACAACTTCTTCCTTTCTATGTTCATGCTGCTTGCTGGTAACAGACTGGATGTGTGTTCTAGCTTACTTAGACAGGAACTCAAATCTTTTTTTTAAAAGGGGCCAAGGAGGGTGGGGTGTGATGAGAGATTTATCCAAATTTAAAAGGTCTTGCTCTAGCCATCAATTTGTGGTAGATGACCTTTAAGGTATTGATAATAAAATGTCTGACAGCTCAGAAAATGTACAGGCTACAAACATCTTTAAATGGCAGAGGACACAGCACGGAAACAATGCCTGTCTCTTCAGCATTTGTGTGGCTGAACTCCCAGGCCAGCAAGAGGACGTCTCTCGAGCAGTCAGGATGGGGGTTACCTTCAGACCGAAAGGAGAAGTGTTCCTTCTTGTTCCTGCTCTGGTTTCAGACATCGTGGGACGGTGATGCCCTTTTGTGTTAACACTTCGAAGGGGATTCAGCCCTGCTGAATTGGAAGCTGCTAAGAGATCCAGCTCTTATGCCCAGCTGGACAGATAGCCTTCCTCACACCAACATATGCCTCCGGCGGTGCAATGCCAAGTGGTCTGACCGGGAAAAGCTGCGATCGCAGTCCGCACACTTGAATGGCTTCACTCCCGTGTGTTTGCGGTAATGCCTCGTCAGTTCATCTGAGCGGGCGAATTTCCAGGTACAGCCTTCCCAGGTACACTTGTAGGGTTTCTCCCCTGGAAGAGACAAAGGCACAAAGCTTTGGTGCTCTATCACTTTTCCCTAACAACCCAGCCAGAACTGTGAGTGGGGAAGACTGGTGTTTTCAATGGGTTTCCCATTTGGTAAAGCTTTGTCGGGAATTCTTACCATCCCTCCAAGAGGGTTTGAGCTCACACAGTTCAGGGTTTCAAACTCGTCTTTCCTGTCTTAACATCAGGCAAATGGGTTAACACTTGCATCCTTAATTTTGAGGAGTGAATTTGTAGCCAAAATATCAAAAGGCATAGGTTGGCTGTCACTGATCACCTCAGGTGACTGGAAAAGGAACATTAGGTCTCCAGTAAGTCCGATTTAGCCCTAAGGCTGGAAGTCAGAAGGAATCATCAAGGGTAATTACATTCAGTTATACTCTCCCTCTCCCAGCAATGTGCATGGCTTAGATGGTTTAAGGCTATTTTAGGACAAAACGTCCATTTATCAGTCACTTAAGGTATATACACAATTTCATTAACCTTTTTTTAACAAAAATTTTAGTTTCTATCTAAGTAAGCTATATACATGTCTAATTTGTAACAAGTAAGCAGTATGAAAGTAGAAAGGAAGAAACTGTATGAGATGTTCCATTTCCTGAAAATAAAGGCACACTCAACCCCAGAAATTAGGCCCATATTATTGATAAACATTGATGGTTTGCTAGGACTCTAGATACCTCAGTAGCAAAGTCTTTAAATATTTTTTCAAGTCTTAGGATTCAGGGTAAGCCTGAGGTCCCATCAAGGTGAACCAAGAGCTGAAACTCCCTGTAAAAAGCGGTGAAGAAGTCTGTAATTTGACCAGGTCCCTCACTCAACCTGTAAGGACTGTCAACTATGCAACGGCTGTGCTGGGAAAAGATACTGTATCCATTGTGCACATGCTGGGGGCTGGGGCGGATAATAGGTGACACAGGTGAGCTGTTTTCCTGGCCCTCATTCAGACTGGGAGCCCTGTCCCCACGCAACCCCACAAACACTAATCTCTCTTGTACCTTCCAGCAGGCAATCCACACAATGTGCGTCTCACTGCACAGGCCCTCTACTGGAAAAAGGGAAGAGAGCTATTTGCTGACCTTTCCCCATATAGAAGCTGCAACGTGAATATTTTTAATTCCACTTTACAGATGAGAAAACCATGACTCTATGCAGCAAAGTGACTTAAAGCCAGTAAAATGATGTATGTGGGTCATAATCCAGTGCTTTCACCAAGGTTCAGAGGAATGGATAATTCTTACCCTGTTGCCTCCTCAGAGTTAGAGCTGCTTCCTATTTCTATTAAATCATCTATCACAATATACCCTAAAGATTTTGTTTTGATGGCTTTCTCATCTACCAGTTGCCGAATTCTTGGAGGCCAGGGACCACGCATCTGATTTCAGTATTCCCAGAGCATAGAGCAGGTCCCAAGCAAGCACCTGCATGAAGAGAACTGCAACACACACACACACATGCGCACACACACACACAGAGGAAATTACTAAGCCCTATAAATGAGATGTACAAAGTAATGCCTACATAGGAAAGCTAGAGCAAACTAGACTGGATATTTTTCATCCAACTGTTAAATCAATGTTGTTTATATGGGTCCTATTAGGATGGAGCAGCCCTTCCAGAAACAGTGGATGAGTACTTCAAACCTTTGAGATCTAGAAATGCTGATGCGCTAACTGTGGCCCACAGGAAGCCCTGAAAGGGCTCCTTTTAACCAAAAGCCCACGGACTGTGCTGACTCAAAACCTCAACTTCTAATTCATTCTCGTTGTTCCAAGGAAACAAACTGCATTTGTATGTGTCTACTGACCAGAGCTGGATAGAAATTAAATAAAAATCAGTAAAACCTCTAACTTACAAAACTGGAAATCAACTATATAAATTATCAAGGGCGATGATTAACATGCTTTTACATGCTGAGTACCATCTCTATGCTTTTGAAATTTATTATCATGAACACGGGTTCTAATCTGAGCTTAAGATAAATCAACTCTAAAAATACCTCCACCTTTGGGGCACTGTGCTTAGGGAACTGGCTGTCACCAAAGCACATCTCCTAGCTGTGTCCTGTGTTAGGATGGAATCAGAGATAGGGTGTTGAGGATGAAGGAACGAATCAAGGACCTTTGGAATCTGTGTAGGAAGAGGAAGAACATTTTTGTTGGTGGGGAAGTGTCATATGCAACTAGAAAAGCCACTGGACCTGCCCTGGTCATTACAGAGAGTAGAAGGAGGGGCTCTGTCACCCAATGGCCCCAAAGGGAGTAGGGGCAAAAGGAAGCTGGTGAGACTTCCAGGCCCACCCCAAGGAGACATGAAAGGCTGACCATGGCCTTTAGGAGAGTTGGTCATTACCTCAGGTAATGGTCTCAATTTCCTTGTACACTCAGTTTAGGCACATAAAATTCTCTTAACTTATTCCTCAAAATTTAGACAGTCATAACCTCATTTTTATTTTGGTGATTTTATTCTTAGTGGTAGTCCATCTTCTTTCCACTTAAAAATCTATAGCTGGGGTTGGTGAACTGTGGCCTCTTTTATATTTTTAAAGGCTGAAAAAATATCCAAAATGGATCAGTATATGCAAAAGTATATAAAATTTAAAATTTAGGGTTCACATTTGTTTTAGTTATTTTCCAATTGAATTCAGCAGTTGTAACAAAACACGTGGCCTTCAGAGTCTGAGATTCTTACTATCTGGCCCTCTGCAGAAAGTCCACGGACCCCAGATATTAAGAATGGGCGCTTCTGCCCTTTGTAGGCTTTCTGAATACATTAATCTACTGAGTTGGTGCATACAGTACATATTGTTAGTTTAGGATGGGAGGCATGGGAGTATTTTAGTTATGGTATCTGAATTCTCAAATTATAATCCTCAATTCAAATTTTAAGAATTTTCTCAGTAATAAACACAGATATTTCTGATCTTTATTTTATTTTAAAACATTAACTTTAACTGCAAATACGTGCTTGTCATCAAGCCACAGGTGGGTGGGACAGTTCTATGTAAATTTAGTAGGCGTCTTTTAAATACATATATTTAGCTGATACATAAAAACTGTCTATACTTGGGCCGGGGATTTAGTTCAGTGGTTCCGGCGCCTGCCTCGAAAGCAGAAGGTCCTGCATTTGATCCTCTGTACCAAAACAAAAACAAAAACAAAAAAACCACTGTCTATACTTATGGGGTACCACACAGTACACACTGTGTATGATACATACACTGTAATGTTTAAACCAGGTGAGATATATCTTCCTTTTCAGACTCTATCATTTCTTTGAGAACTTTCAAAATCCTTTATGTAGCTTGTTGGAATGTACAGGACATTACCATTATCTGTAGTCTAGGGGTCTTCCTGCCCCTAAGTGTAGCTTAGTACACATTGATCAACCTTGCCCCACCCTCTCTCCACCCTGGTCTCCTAAGTCTCTAGTAGTAACCACCGTTTTCTCCACTTCTACAAGATCAACTTTTTATATTCCATGTATGAGTGAGATCATATGTACTTCTCTTTCTGTGCCAGGCTACACATGCTGTTTCATAACAAACGCTTTAAACTGAGAGTTCTATTTGAAAGAAATTGAGTGACTACCTTAAAAGGCTCACCCAATTTCTATCAGACTTAAAAAAATATCTTCAGGATCTTTTCTGTTCACTAAAAAAGCATCTACGAAGGTGAGGGTCAGAATGGTGCCTGCATCAGGAACACTCTCCAGACTTTACGTGGCAACCCAGAGCAGTGATTCCACATCATGATGGAGTCCTGCTCTCCAACTACCTTAAGATCCCTGTGTTGAAAAGGTTCCTGCAAGCAAGGACAAGTTACCACTCTACTGAGTCAGGCCAAGGGTGACCTTATGGGAAGGATCACACAGTAGGAGTTTAGATATTGCAAATTGTTTCCCAGATGGACATTTTAAAGGGGAAGAGCTGGGAAAGCACCAACTGGCAGCAAGGAATTGTTTGAGCCCATATCATGGAGCAGGGAAGCAATTTGTGAGGTGATCATCAAGCATCATAAGCCATCAAGACAAGGAAAGAGGTCTCATGAATACCAGAAGCAGAAATTTCTGCATGTCCCTACTGAAAACCAATGAAAGTGACCCAGAAGCTTATAAGTTTTGGGGGACTAAATAACAATGCAAACCTTCTCTACTAGGGGAGAGGTAAGGGAGAAAATAGTAAATGTAATTATCTGGGTGATAAATGACTTTCCTTATAAAATGTATACTTTCTTTTTTTACTGTTCAAAAACCAAAAACCCCTGTGCATAATATTATTGCATCCCTTGCCTCATTAATGAAATTGGAGTTTAAGCATCCTTTCTCCTTTTAAGAAAAAAGAGGAAAAAAGAAAAGCTCTCCAACATTCTTCAAAATTAGAGGCTGATCTGTGAGCACTGGGGTAGAAGACATGTATCCTCTGGTCAGGCAGGGGGCTGGCTTTGGCCCCTCACTCAAACAAGACCTAGGTATCGATTATATCTAAGCAGTGCATAGCATTTCATTAAAAAAATCAGTAAGTCATTAAATGCTCTCTTTGGATTAGTCAAGTTTTAGAAATGGATAAAAAATTTTAGTAGATATTACACTGTTTTTCATACATAATGTTTATGTTTGTGCTCTGAAAAAATTCAAAGGGTACAATCATATAAAATACATTAAGATAAGAGGAACTAACTCCACAATATGAATAAAAACTAATTAAAATGATAAATGTTTATGAGATATACAGAAGTATGTGTAAATAAGCCCTGAGAGGTGTTAATGAAGAACAGAGTCTATCTTCCATTTTGTCTCTTTCCCTTTAAAAACTTACTAAATAATAAAAAGCTAAGCTTAATTTTAAAAAGCCAGTGGCAGGAACAGAATGGTAGGTGAACTTTCCATGATAATATTCCTATGGGAAAGAGCTGGCGTGGATAATACCACAAGGCAGACACCTCTGGGCTCGGCTGCTGCTACAACAGCTGCTCTGCAACTCGATG